GTGAACTGAAGATGTTTCGTAGATGCACACAATATCTATTAAATTCATCTTAACCTCTTCCTAACCCCAAACCTAATGCTTACTTTAACTCTAACCTTAATCTCAACCCAAAAACATCTAAACCTGACCCTAACCCTAAGACTGTCAAGAATCTAATGGGTTTCACCAGATTTTTATATCAACTTGAATTTTTTTAGAGAAGCATGATTTTTTTTATACGTCAGTGCTGGGCAATATGGCAATATTTTATTGTCTTGTGATTACATCACAATACTGTGGATGTTGTCAGAATGTTGAACAACTGCATGTTTCATTAAAAAGAGCATGATCGGGCCTGTTTAATAGGATTTACTCCAGTGTTGTATGTAAAGTGTTGAATCAAAATTGTACTCATATTTTGTGTTTTTAAAGGGGCACTGCTGTTAGTTCCAGTGTATCAAACCTCAAAATTAAATTTCATTATACATATACAGAAAATGTCATCAAGTATTGTGATCTTGTATTTTTGCCATATTGCCCACAACAGGCAGACCAAATACTCTGGAAGCCTAATAATGCCAAGGGGTCCCAAAAAAAGTTGCTGTGCCCTAACACCATTCTAGCCCAGACCAAGGCTGTAGTCCAGACAGTAAATCCGGGGTTGACTTAGCCAGCCCCCCCACTTACCCCCTTAGCCTCTTTGTCTCCAGTGAGCCCTACTATCCCAGCATGATTATTTCTTATCATGTATTTATTTGTTTAATCCACCCCTCCCCCAAGCAGCACTCGGCTGCCTGGTTCCCTTTGCACTAGGCACGGCTGTCTGGCAGAGAGGGACAACCAGCCCCCCTTCATCATCCCAGATACACCCCCACAGCAGCCCCCATTGCTGATACCTCTGCCGTGCCACACAATGGGCGGATATACCCTCCTCAGCCTGGGAATTCCGTCCAGGGGCAAACAGCCCTCCCTCCTTCCTTGTCTCTCGCATGCCGCCATTGCTAGCCTAGCCGTGTGTGCGCACTATAAATAATGGATGCATTAGCATGCATGAATCTCTTTTTTTGGGTGGTGAGGGGGGTGTAGAGGGGTTTAGTGGGTGGGGTTTAGATGCCTTAATTCATTATTAATCCCCTTCACAGGCAAAGAGGGGTCTGCCTGCTGCCTGGGCCTATAGTCCTCAGCTAAACCCTGCTTTAGGGGCTCTGCCTCAGACTGCAGACTGACCCCATCCATCAACATCGTCCAGCTTTAACACAACTCATCATGCCCCTCCCAATCTCCATAGTCAGCCTTTGCACCCAAATTTAAGATCGAACACCACTTCACTTCTCGGCTGCTATTTTGTAATCTAGCCCCCCAAACATCTGGAAGTAGGGGATAATCTAAGGATTGTGAAGGGGAAATTAAGAAAATCTGTGGAGCTACAGTGCAGACATTATGCCTTAACATTTGAGGTGCACTCTTAAAAATAAAGTTCCTAAATGGTTCCTGGCCTATATTGGTAAAGACGACATTTTCCTACAGTTTGATGCAATATGTAAACATTATAAAAGTTTTAAAACATACCAGTCACTTCACAGTAAATATGTTTGACCAATACATGGAAAGTAAACTGCAAAAGCAGCCTGATTTAAATAGTTTCTGTGATGTCACAAAAGTCAACACATGTCACATACAGCCTACAACAGTTTAGCTAGTCCATTGAAGTAGAGGTTATAAGATGTATTTCAGCCTAAATTGCTTTTTGAAGTGCAATACAAGGCAACCAATCAGAACACAGATAATTTACATATAAGTCTGAAAGACACAGTAATAAAAGAATCCTATTATCAGAAATTAAGATAGGTAGAAAATGGTAATTGACAAATGGTAAATGATAATGACTATTTCTGGTACATTAACCCCAACAAACATCATAATTGGACCTGAGGGAAGAAAATGCAGTACAAGAAAATACAGGATGTGGTCCCTTCTTTAAACTAGACAAGTCACACCCGCACATCTTGTTTGTTCTTTAAAGAATTATTAATTCAAAAGTTTTTAGGGAACCAAATGTAGTTCTTCTATAGCATTGCTTCAAACGCAATACTACGACCCCTACCGTCCTTTATCTTTTAGCAGTTATTTTATGTTGATGATGCAATGATGACCAAAAAAGTCATTAACTTTGAAGATGCCATTAGTAACTTTTGTTTTTTGTTGGGCTTTTAGATTCAATGGAGTTAGAAGGTTCACAAACCCTGGTCTGACCCAAGGAGCAGGAAGTCTCCCATAGTGGGAGGGTTCATTGAGTGTTATGTGGCTATTTGCTATTTTTAGAACCAAGCTTACACCATAAATACATACTGCATCATGGTATTGTGATGCTGAAATAGGGAGAGGGATGCACAGTAGCCTGCAGCGTGTTTCAAACATAAAAGAGCGAGTGTATTGTGCTTTCATGACGTGGTTAATGCTTCAATAGGATTAAGACATTCGGTCTGGCTCTCTAGAAGTGTGTAAATGCATATATTCATTCTCATGACTAGATGTGTGAATGTATGGATGATACGTGGAGTGCCAGAGACTCGTTGACAGTATGCTTTAGCATTTTCCTTTCAGATCAATCAACCCCTTTGTAAAGGCTCATGTCTGTGCTGTCGTGATGTGAAGGATGATTTGACTGTTTATCTGTGCATATTCGCAGGAAGCATTCAGACTGCGTGTGTACTGTGAGTGTGTATATGTCTTCTGTCCTCCTCTCCCACCACTAGGGTGCACTGCATGCCATGAGCCCCCAAATTCACTACATCCAATCACAAAAGCTTTGCTGCCCCCCTCGCCCCCCTCCCCCCGTCTCCAATCTACAGTCACAAGAATAAAATGTGCTCAATCCCACACATACATACACATATGCACGCACGCACACTTACAGGATATCATGCTGATTTTGTCACATAAAATGAACATGCATAATCGTATTTCTGAGTAACACCATGATACTCATAAATATAACTGACCCAGATAACAATGTCAAAATATGAGATATGTAGCACAGTGTGATCCATGACTTCATTCTTGCGTGTATTTTTGTCTCCTTTTCCCCTCCCTTTTCTCTCTCTCTCTCAATGTTTGCCATATGTGCTTTGGGAGAGAGCACGTCACTGGAGAGACAGAATCCAAAGTAAAGTATGCTTTCTTGAAAAGCCTAGCTGCATATCTTTTGTGCTGGGGAATCTCTTTCAACTGATTTTCTTTTTGCCTAATATGACACACTCTCACATGTTCGAGGGCCTTTTGATCTTCTGATATTTTCTTTGAGTTAGCGTGGTCATGGCACTGTGAGATTGCTCATTGGATTATCACAGTTCATCTGAGATATGAGATATTTGAGATAAAAAAATAATTTTGTTAATACACAAGGAAAAAAGTACCCCGGCATAAACTGTGACTAAAAAGGCCATAAAAATTAAGATAGGCTGTGCTTTTCATAAACCCATTCATGTAATACGTAATAATATAATAATCGTGTCCATTTTGGTTACATTTATATATTGGTGTGTTATAGATTCACATTTAAATTTCACAGTAATCAAAACGTTTTATAAAATTGGTACATGAAAGAAAAAATCCACATATGGATAAATTGCTGACATTGTTCCTTTTAAAACAGGAACATTCATTTAAAAAAGGGACAACATTCTGTATAATGCGTTTAGTCTATGTTGTGCATTTTCTATAAAGTGTCAAGTTATTTTGAGCTGTGCTGTTCACTCATACCATCAGCAGTGTGTTCTGTTGCACTACAGTGTAAGGATCTTTTTGCTGACACAGAGAGAGCCTGTGGAATGTGCTGGAGCCCTGTGTTTGGGTCTGGGGGTCTCTACTGTGGGTACTGGTGAGGATGGGGGAGAGGCAGCTAGCAGGCACCACACTGTGCTGCTGAACTCTGCTCAACCCCTGGAATACCTCGGCCCAGGCAGGAAATTGAAATATTGTGCCGTATTGGCAGGCCGATGGCCATCTATCATGGCCGTCCGGCACAGGGGACGCCACTCTATAGATCAGAAATGGACTGCTGGGGCCACAGGTTCAAAGGTAAAGGAGACAGAGAGAAAGGCAGGCTTGAGAAAGGGGATACGGTGCCACGCAGGGGTTCAATGCTTAACCAACTCTTCTGAAACCCTGTACAACCACTCTGCATCCATGAAAAAGAGAGCAGCCAGGCAGGACAAGGGTGAACTGCTGATAACATTCACTTTCTTTAATAAGGAATCACAATTAACAAAAGCATGTCTGCCCAAAGTAGGAGAACTATATAACGTATACACCTGAGCTGTTTAATTTCACCTGACTGCAGCAGCAGTTTTTTTACTTCTCGATGCTGACATACCAACTGTTTATTCTTTCAACTCTTTCAGCAAAGGTAGCTCCATGTCTGGGGTCCTATTGGTCACATATGATGAAAAGAACACTTGGAAACTCAAAAACATAGAAATGACTCTGTATCAGCACTGTTTGCCTACCAACTAAAGTGCCATACAGTTGTTTTCAAGCTTTTCATTGACAAAAGACAATAGCCTACAATCTACGTCACTACACGACATTAGATAATGACGTGTAGTTACTCCAGCATTGACTTACACCTGAACTGAGTATCAATCTTGCTCTGATATTTGAGTAGGAGAAATGAACTGACAGGGAAAATAAACAATTCCAACGTTTTTTCATCCATTTCACAGGATGAAGGCGTTTTAAATCAATATATATTTGTCAAACATATTTGGAGTACACGAAAAGTCCCTCAGCACTCATGTAGGCTACTCAGTGCGGTGATGAAGATGTTAAGCGCCTCATTCTCAAACTGCACCGCACTCCAACGTAAACATGCTGAACTCCGACAACGTCATGATAAGGGAACGGATCAGATGATGATTATGTAAAAGTGAAAAAAGCGCCTCAATGTCACCGGATGGACGAAGCAGGATGTTGTATATCACTTTAGTTTTTTTTTTTCTTTTTTAATATTCCTCCAAGACACCCAGGACGACAAAGGCTCCTCTTCGCCTCTACAGGACTTCGCTTCTGACCTTGTGAACCTCCCTGAGGTAAAATGACTGGAAACAAATGTGGCCGTTCGGGAGGTGAAGTCGAACCCGTTGGCGTGGTACCCGCACAGGAAATGACATCAACGGGTCAAAAACTGAAAATATGTCGCCGGACGGACCGGTGGGATGAGGCCGCCCTGGCCGCGAGGACGGAGCGGGGATGCTTTACTTCAGGTTAGCCGGTTAGCATTGTTTTATGTTATGGCGCAGCGACTGATGAGGGGACGAAGCGGCGGGAGGGACTCGCGCGCTGACACGGCGCTTTTTTTCAGCCACGACTTCCATCCAGCTACATCAAGTTTTCTCTCCCCCCCTCTCTCACTCTCTCATACACACACACTCTCTGACGCCGGTTATACGCGGCAATGTCGGCTCGCGTGTAAGACGACCAGAAGCTGTTTTTAAACCCAGCACGGTGCCCGTTTTGCTGTGGCGGATGACAGAGCGGGGCTTGTCAAAGTACAGTAGGGCGAACGCGGCGAGGTTTGGACCTCAGCCGCTTGGCTGGGAAGCGATGGGGGGGTTGTAAAGAGAACAGAGACATCAGTGCCGGTGGAGACTGAAGCGTTGACATTTTGTGGCGTATCGTCCCGCTTCGTGGCGAGGACTGTGCCATATCGACAGTCCTGTTTGTTCACAGCTCTCTTGAGGAAGACCCGTGCGGGAATATATATATATATATATATATATATATATATATATATATATATATATATATATATATTCCGTTATTTACCTATAGCGCTGTTGCCGGTGGGCGCGTCCCAATCCGAGCTACAGCTGCTGAGCGGGGACGCCGAGTGTGCGTGTCTTTTTAAAAGCTGCGTGCGCCGGGTCACGTGTTGTTTGTTGTTGCTCGTCCAGTAAGATCGCGTGGAGATTACACAGGGGCGTGTTGCGTAGATCGCCTGCGAATCTGAATCGTGTGCTGATGTGCTTAATGGTGGCAGTGTGACGTGTAGGCTACGAGCATGCATAGGGATTAGTGGGTATATCAGTGTGGAACATATTGCGCGTTTTATGACACGTACACGCGTGTATACTCGAGAATGCACGTATGTTACAGAGATTAATCAAAAATGAGATTGTGTACGGTTTTTATTCACACCTCATTGTTAAAATGATTTTTTCTGTCGTGGTCTGCTTCAGTCACTGTATATTTGTGTGTATTTATTCATTCATTCATTCGTTTATTTGTGTTGTAAAGACTGCTGAGTTTTTCATAGTAATCTGCATAATAACTTTGTCTTTCCAGACCAGGTCCATCTTCAGCAGCTGAGAGTTTCTATTTAAAGGCAGTGTCCTGCCAGGACTCCGGCACACAGCTCTGAGCCGCTGGGTAAAACCTCCTGCCTGTGTTGCCTGCCTGTCTAGAGTGATAACTCTATTATTCATGCTTGCGTGTAGACAGCACCGTTAATCTCTCACCACGCTGTAGTGCTTCCATCAGCTGCTCGTAAGCGGCCCACGTGTGTGCAAGGTATGTGCGTGTGTGTGTGTGTGTGTGTGTGTGTGCGTGTGCGTGTGCGTGTGTGTGTGTGGAATGCTCAGGTCAGAGCAGGCACTCGCCGGAATGGTGGTGCTGTGGTGCGTGCAGCGTATTGCAGCCAGACCTTTGGGGCCAGTGGTAATTAGCTGGGCGGGGGCATTCAGCATGGCCATATATTCACCATGCTGAAAGGGTAGTGGGCAGGGGGTCTATTGACGGGTGACAGGTGCAGTGGCGGAAGGCGTAGGTAGCTGGGGTACCAGAGCTGTGGCTCAGTGCCACTGTGTCTGGTCCCTGGGTCACTGCAGGGGCCCCTACTAAGGGTCAAAGTGGAATGCAAGTTCAAGACCCGCTTCCCACCCAGCTATGTTCACAGTTTTTCAGTGGCTGGTGGAAAGCGGCTGCTGAGATCAGAATTGTCAGCAAATTTTGCCACTCTCATTTTTTCGAGTGGTTTCTTCCTGTACAATAATCACTAATCGATAACACAATACAGACACTCCTGATTACACTATAGCTAACAGACACATTTAGTCAGACGACTGGGTTCATGCTGAACTGAAAATAGTGTGCGGAAAGTGTGTATTGTTGTGATGCCCTTCATTTCCGTTGCTTGGGCAGTTTTGCTTGAACTAGCTAACGGGTTACAGCCATTACAAATCCTTCTGTCTTGGTGAGTAATAGCCAGACAGGAGGCCTTTTTTTCTTAAAACTTGCTTTTATTTAGCATTCCTCCAAGGTTTATGACCAGGTGTTTAAAATTAAGGGCAGGATATTTATTGGAAACTTCTGAAGGCAAAAAAAAAACCTTTTTGCTTACTTTCTCAATTAAATGCACACACCCCAAGCACACATACAATAGAGAGGCACACACACATACTGTAACAGAGCAGATATACCTACGAGCCACTGCACAGTACAGGACCACTGGTCTGGCAGTTAAAAAAAAACAAAAAAAAAAAAACATGGTCACTCCAACACTTATACCATTACCTACAGTCAGTATTTGCAATAGGTAGAGGGCAGGAGAGTATTACTGACTTATTATTAGGGCTTAGCTGGACCAGTGGTGCTTTGCACAAATGAAGGTACACTGGCGCCTTGCTTTAGGTTCTGATTGCAGGTCGCAGGGCTGGAGATGTCAAGTGGGAGGGGTGACGTGAAATCCCTGCTAAAGCCCAGAGCCCCTAAGAGCCATGAAGCTCCTGTAATGAGCAAAGTGATGGGGTTTGGGTGTGCTGAACTTGCAACCTCTGAGTGTGTGTGTGTGTGTGGGTGGGTGTGTAAGAGACAGACAGAGAGAAAGAATCTGAGTGTGATTGAGAGAACTTCTCCATGACTGTTGTCCTCCCTAATCCTGGATTTAGAGAATGGGAGTGCTCACAAAATTTAGCAAGGTAAAATCAGTAGTCAGGTTAAAGTACAGGAGCAGAAATAGGGAGCTTACCAAAAATTACTCATTTGACAGCCTAGACGTTTTCCCACATAGTGCTCAGAAACATCTCTATTTTTCTCAGAACAGCACTTGTAGAATCACTAATGATCATAGTCAAAGTGGCTAATAAGTCAGCAATGCATCTGCCCTGGAAAAGCTGAATAATACCAGTTATTAATGGAGTCGGGTCCTGAATGATTCCCGGGCCAGCATGGCTGTTAAACGCATTCCAGGTTTTGTGGAGGCCATTATTCCTGCTTCTTAATCACCACCTCGGCTTTTATAACCCCCGAAGCCTCAGTGTGTGGCTTGCGGAAACCACATGTGGGCATAGGCCGGGAAATGTCGAGCAGACGAGGAAAAAAAGAAAGTCTCCCTTTGCCTTTAAAAGTAATGGCCTTAACCAAACGCTTAAGGCAGTCTACTCCTGACTAAACTTTGCTGTGCCTGAACAGTAGTTTATGAGTTATTAGATATGATTAGAAGGGATGTGGAGGAAACTGTGGTGAGCTGTTTAAAGAATAGTTTTTTTAATGAATGAAGTTTTGCGGTATGGCGTTAAGGCTGGACAGGACAGTACTTTCGAGTGGTCTAGGGTTAGGGTTAGGGTTAGCTCTTCACAAGTCATACCTGTAAGTTTTCACAATTACCTGAAAAGATAATTTGGCAAAAATTGTGTTCAATTTTCCAGGAGCTTAGAGACCTATATAGCTAACAAGTAATGGAAAAAAATATATGTCACCAGTTCGCGATGTCTAAATCTTCACACCCTATGATGTTAAGGGATCTCAAGTAAAAAGTCTTATGTGGTTTCTGACATTGTACATCATTACTGTCATCTATTAAAATAGACAGAAGTATTTTTACTTTTGCCTCATAGCTTTAGTGCAAAACTGAGGAAGAAAGAAACTTCAGACACTAAACATGTCTTGGCTTGTTGACTTTATTTAGGGTAAGGTGAAAATAATGCAAATTTAATTTTTTACAGAAGTATCTCTTTAAGCTGAAGAAAACAGAATAGTTTTATGTTTGCCTAGTTTTGGCTCACGATAGTATGGTTCTTCCAGTTTAGTACTTCAGTGGAATTATTGCTCCTTGCAATTTTAAATTAAAACAAATCTGTAAAGGTGTACCAGACGGTACTGATGAAATTAAATATTTTCCAGATTTGTCACAATATTTTCCCAATTTGTCATGGTATGTAAGTTGTAAGTGACGCCAGCACTGGTACAAACAACATATCACCCATCACTATCTGAACCAGGCCGTTGTCTCACAAAGCAGGATGTCTTGATTAGCCAGGTAACTTTGAACTTATTTTGATTTACCCTGGATTTTATGGAACACTTTTTGCCAGGATACATTGCAGTGGCATCTTATGCTGCATGTTTAACCTGCCCCAGGCTAGGTTAATTTCAGGATCATGGATTGGAGGCATATTTACATTGTTTGAAATCATCTATGATTTCTTGTTTTTGAAAATAGCTGCTTTGCTTCTAGCTGCGTTTCGTAACATTAGTTGTGAACATCACTCTTTCATGTGTTTGCTCATAGGAACTAATCTTAGCTCAAGTATCTAAACCTGGATTAACAGAGTAAATTTTTAACAAGTTAACCGTAGCTGCGTTTGTTAGGTTTGTGAGGCTGAAACTTAGTCAGGTATACTGTCTAATTTGAATATGCTTTGTGAGACAGGCCCCAGGTGTTGTGCATTTAACATGGCTTTCACACTCACGATAATGAGAGAAGAGAAGCACACCTCCAGTAAGCTGTGGATGAATGAGAGCAGTCTCGTCATTGGCACTGTTCATCCATCAGCTTACACCAAGGACCTTTCTTTTAGGGTCCACTGCGTGGGGGGTACAGATGATGATGGAAGGGAGTCATTAAGCTTTCGTGATGTTTTTGCTTTAAAACGAACCTTGTTTGAAGTTTTCAATAAATCTTATTAGCATAGAGCGTGTTTGGAGGAGGCTGGCTGGAGGTGTGAAGTGGCTGTGCTGTTTACACTGGGCTTAACAGCTGCACACTTGAGAGAGCTTGACAAAAAAAAAAAGAAAACAACTGCCCCATGTCAGTATGACTGGTGACATACACCGTCAGTTGATGCCGTAATTCACGTGTGTCAGCCATGCAGTGTGTATGTGTGTGAGTGTGGTTGAGTGTGGCTGTATGTAGAGTGGGGGTGGGCCTTTTTCTCCTCCTGTTTACCCACTGCCTGATGGCCCCCTGTGGAGAGCAACAGCAATTATCACCTTGGAGGAATGTGGGACCCTCGTGTTAAATTCCCTTTGACCCCCCTGGAGGAGGAGGTCAGAAGGTGGTGCTCCCCCTGGGGGGCAGCATGCAGTCAGGGGTTTTGGTGGTGGTGGTTGGGGGTGCCATGGATGGGTGCGTTTGAAGATCTCTCCTCATGCTTATGAAAACCTTGAATCCAGAGCTACAGGCTGGCGAGGCTGGACTTCCAGTTGAGAAACTGGATTTTTCATGGTGCATTTGCAATGCAAATAGGTGCTTGGCCCTCTTCATTTCATTCTGTACTGGCAGGCTTCACACATTGGATATTGGATGGAGACGTTTAATGCATCCACCGGGAAAGAGAGTGCTACCATATGCGCACGCACATACGCAGGCTTGTATTTGTACAATGTCAGAGAATGGCATCATACATATGTCCAATGAGTACTCGGGTGCTTCAGGTAAAATAGGGTAACATGGTAGGTAATATAGGACACATAGGTAATAGACCCTGAACGATAATACCATTATTTTATTCTTTTAAATTAGCAAAATTTATTTTACTCATTTGCAAAGTGACAGCTCAGCCTCAAATTAACAGGAATTTCTTAAAGTCAACCAAAATACCCGAATCTACTGTGTGTATATATACAATACTGTGCAAAAGTCAGAGACATCCCTTCATTTTCAAATTAAAAACACTTAAGTTGTTCATTTATCAGGGTATATTTCTGAAGAGATTAGATACAAGATAGTCCACTTCTGTATGGAAGGGGAAATTTTCCAAAACCTGAGTTAAAAAATGTGAAAAGACAGAGAGAAAATGGGGATCCCAGCAACTGTCCAAGACCTGGTAGACCACCAAAACTGTCACCATCATATAAACAGTACTTAAAGCTTTTATCTAATGTCAAGTTCCACTCTTGCTGCAGATCTGAAAAAATCCACAGGTGTTTCTGTACATCCTTCCATGACGAGAAAACAGCTCATCGCTATGCGTCTGAAAGGATGTGTGGCTGTCAAGAAGTTGTTACTGAGAAAAGAGACAAAAAGAAGAAAAATTGGAAATCAAACAAAGAAGCTGCTGGTGTTCAAAAGAACAATGGAGAAGACAACGTTTAGCTCAGACCTAAACATAGTCTAATGTCTTTGTGGTTACGTATATTGTGAGAAGCAGAAAATGCAACCAACTTATAAGAATGAAAAATATTCCAGCTGATTTCTTTGAAAAACTAAAAGCAAGTGAAATGGAAACAGTAGTAAAGGCAAGGAGTGGACATACTACATACTGAAGATGTAATAAAATGTTTAGTTGTTGAGGGTTCTGTGTAATTTTCTGTTAAATATGTTTTATACTTTTTTCCCTGATATAAAAACTCTTTTTTAATTTAGCTTGTTTTGACTGAAAATGAAATAAATGATGGGTGGTTGCTGAATTTTGCACAGTACTTATCAGCATGTAATTAGAAATATCTAAGCCTTAACCTTAATCTGAGTATTCAAAAAGAAATGCTTTTCGTTTCTTTTTAAAATATGTAGCTTTTGCAACCAAAACAAAGTTACAAAATCAGAATCATTTTGTTGTTAGCCTAGTTTTTCTGCAAGGGAAGGACATTTTTCTCTGAAAATGCATTTAAACAAACACAGATGTTGGCCTGTATGTGTGTTATCACTTTTAATTTCTGCAGCAAATTGTGTTTGCAAAATTTTAAGGGTTTTTTTGGACCTTAATAAATGCTGAGAAGTCTTTGCGCTCTTTTGAAAGCTCTAACTTGGTTTTTGTGCTGTTTGTTTGTCTCAAGCTGTGTTTAGTGCACATATATAAATCACAGCTTCACAAGTAACAACTGCACCATAAAGACTGGTTGTCATGGGTGTTGTCTTTGGATTGGTTCAGTTCACAATAAGGCAAGGCCGAATGCTGTATAATTGGTGAATTGAACGAAATTGAAAAAGTTAATGTTAATGTTCCCATAAAAAAAGCCAAATGTAGCCTTGCTGAGATGCCTTGTTTCAGCCAAATTTTCTATTGTGTATTAAAATGCCATCAAACATTCAGTGTTGTCTCTAGTGGCATCTATCAAAACCTGAAGAGCTTTAATGGGAAGAAAACAGCAGATATTGACCATATTGTTCAAGATTTCACTCAAGTACTAGAGATTCAACCAATCAATGATAAAAGTGAGGAAAGGATGTTTCAAGTTACCTTTTCTTCCCTCTGCAACTAACAGTGGCATGGGATTTAGCTTTCTTAGATTTTACATTTCGCAGCACTCATGAATGATGGTCTAAAGGGAGTAGCTAGCTCATAAGGTTGCAGAAGGCAGATCATATACTATTATTGTCAGATGTTGAAAGCTGATGGTCTTTTATGTTTTCTCTCGACAGTGGCTCGCTGAACTAGCCCACGCAAGACAGGTATCAAATCTGGTGGAGCTCCAGAAAAAGTAAGAGGCTGTATTGATCCATTCTGTTGATGGAATCTGTACTCTGTTTTTATGGCTTTGAGTCTGTTCACAGTTCTTGATGTTTTTGTGTTTTTCCACAAAGGAGATTCTAAACACTGTATTGTGATTGATTAGTGCTGTAATTTAGCTGTTCCAGAGATCTTTGGTGTCGACTGTTGTCTTGATATAATGTCCGTCACTTACACCGCACACTACAAGACTGCAAGGGTTAACACTGGAGTTTAAACTTGGTCAGACTCTGTGACCCTCCGGTCCAGCAGTTGGGTTCTGTCCTCAGCAGTTTGCATTAAACGGTGCATTAATTACTGCTGCTGTGAGCGCAGCCATCCTTAAAAATGAGGGCCTTACGCATTGTGACAAAGCAGAGTATCCCTACAGTTTCATCAGATCACCTCGCCACTTCCAATTAGTGCCAGTCGAGGGCCACCTTCCTGTGGACACGAGGGGGCCCCAGACCGGCCCGGCCACTCCCTGACCCCGTCCCCCAGGGACCTCTGCTCCATGATTTATTTAATGACATCAGGCCTATACCCAGCCATCCAAGCCTAGTACACCCACACACACTCACACGCATGCCCAAACTGCCCCCATCTTGCCCCCAACAAAAGCCTTAGCAGTCCACTCTGGAACCCTCCAGAGTTCTGCTAGTCAGCTCCTATAACCAAAGGGACTGAACTTCTGCGTTGCCATAGAAACCCCAAAACCACCCGCCCCCTTCCCCCAGGCTTCCTCCCATTTTCCAGGCCCTGTAGTTTACATCAGACTTTAATAACTTTGGGCAGATACAGTTTTGCTGCTTATATTAGTTATTAGTTTAATAATGCCTGATTGTGTACTTGAGCAAAGAGAAAAAGGGACGTATGATAGGTTGAAGGAGGTGAAATGTTCCAGTTATTGATTTGAAGTTTTTTCAGAAATGTGAATATGCTTAAGCACTTGGGGGATCTGGACCATGATGGTCCACTAAGCACAAGTAAACAGGTAATCATGAGTTTCTTTTGTGTGTCTGATACGATACAAATTACATTTTTTTTTATTTGAGTAAACTTATTGAGTCACCTCTGTCAGCTCTTTTAACACAATTTTAAGATAAAATGTATTCATACATTACATGAATACCAGTTTGATGGTAGAGCAAAATGACATTGAAACTAAGTTTCATTATGTTTCACTATTACTTTTAAATTGTTTATAATCGCAAAATATTATAAAAAAACAAATTTATTGACAAAATGTCAGTGCTATTCTAACCCTGCAAGTCTTGTTAATTTATAATTAGGGGTGGGCAATACAGTATTTATCGTTATTGTGATAAATTATGTCACAATATGGTTTTCTGATATTTTGTAGATATTGTTTATATTTAAAGAGCGCTGACCTACTACATGTTTCATTATAAAGTGAGCATAATCAGGTCAGTTTAATTGTGCAATGCAGTATATGAAATGTTAAAACAAAATCCTTGTATTCATAGTTTTTAATTGTTTAAATGTAGGACTCATGGTTCCTGTTTTGTATATATGCATGTCACATATTGCAAAAATGTCTAGAAAAATCATGAGGTCCACTACTGTGCAGAAGTCAGAGAACCTTCATTTATTTAAATTCCAGTCAAAACAGTAAATACAACTAAATACAATATCATTTTTTTTCAGTATTTAGTGTGTCCACCCTTTGCCTTTATTGCAGCTTCCATTCTTTTTGGAGACTTGCACCCAGTTTTACTAGAAATCTGCAAGAATATTTGTCCACACTTCCAAATTTCAGTCTTGGAAGTTTGGTTGTTTTTTCCAGTAATCCCGAACACGTTCAGTGATGTTGAGGTCTGGACTCTAAGGTGGACAATCCATTGTTCTGAGAACAGAATTTGCAAATTTTCTTTTCTCAGTAATGCCTTCTTGACTGCTACACATCCTTTCAGACCCATAGCGTTGAGATGTCTTCTAACAACGGGAGAACAGATAGAAACACCTGTAGGTTTTTTTTAGATCTGAAGCAAGAGTCAAGCTTAATTTTCTCTCAAAGACGAAATCTTTAAGTGCTGTTAATCTGATAGTGACAGTTTTGGTGATCTACCAGGTCTTACAGGGTTGTTAGGAGGCCAGTTTTCTCTAAATCTTTTCAAGTTTTTGAACTACAGTCATGGAAAATCCTGTTTTTTCACTTCCCGATTCCTTATGCATATGGATTATCTTACATCTGATCTCCTCAGTAATATCTCCTGAACAATGAATAACTTGTTTTGACTGGAAATTTAAGAAATGACATTTAAAGAATCCTGTATTTAACCTAGAATTTATGCTGAGATGACAGATGTCAAGACAGTGGCGCTTTCAGTTTATGAAAGTACTCATTTTGAAGTTGACAGCTTGTCTGCCTGTTTAAGTAAAATAAAATAGCTTTGTGTCAGATTGGAGATTTACCAAGGTGCAGTAACAGCATTACATACACAACGCAATAAATCTATGGATGTGTTTGTGTGATCATAAGAGTGTCTATATGTTTATTAGATGAATTCAGTTACGCTTCAAAAGTGTCTCCGTTTTTTTTAACAGATGCTTTGCAATATATCCTTGGCTGCTATAACTCATGATAAGTCTTGATGATGGACGTTCTTCAGTCTTAAACGTTTGAACTCTGAAATGTATGATTTGCAGAATTGCACTTTCCTGGCTTGTGGAGGGATGGAAATGAAAAGGAATGGAGTGGCCAGACATCAAACTGATATGAAAGATTCAAATCTTTTTCCTGCTCACTGCATTTTTATTATTGATGTCAGTTTCACTTATATCACACGCTCCTCATCGTCGGCCGTTTTTACAAGTGTTCATGGGGAAAATAATGTGTGGGGGGAAAATTCAAACTGAGCTGAATGCTGTGGCATACTTCTCCATGGAGTCACTAGCTCAGGAGTCTGTGTGTGTGTCTGCTGTCTCTTTCTGCAACCAGGACTCTTCTGCACACACACGCACACACTTTCACGCATGACCTCGCATTCACACGGCACACTGTGCTGCTCGAGCCCTACACGCACACAAACTCACGCACACTCTCACATTCAGGCTGCAGGGAAAACTCGGCCAGGGAGAGAGAGATAGACAGATACAGAGAGCGAGAGAGTGAGTAGAGATTTCTGAATGAACTGTAGAGTAGCTGGATGTGTAGTATTTCTGCAGGCTTTTTAGACAGTGAAACAGGCTGGTCAGTGTAGCAGGCAGAGATTTTTTTACCACTCTGTGGCCTGTCTACCACGAATCTGCTCTAGTGCCTGAGCACAAAAGAAGCACCATGCAGTGTCTTTTTTTAAATTAATTAATTAATTAATTAATTTTTACGAAAAGGAATCTTTCTCTGTGCTGGAGAATAAAGTGCAAATAAAAGCCTGTGTCATCTTTGTCCAGAGCCATCCCAAACTTTTGTTTTGTTTGTTTGTTTTTAACCAAAGGCTGTGGGGAAGTAAAACAAAACCAACCCATGTTCGTGTTCAAAGCTCATGTTGATTATTTACCCAATTCTGTCGTTCCACATTTTCTTTTACTGCAAACATAACCACAAAACACACTCCGACTGCCCTCTTCATTGGCTGCACCTACTTGTATTTACATCTCACCACTGCCAGAAAAAAAGGTATAGAGCTGGTATATTTTTTGTTCATTAAGGTACAAACATTGTAAATATACCCTCAAAAGTACAGCAGTGGTTTTAACCCCAAACTGTGCACCTTAAATAAGTTTTTCCCAGGGGAACGGTTCAAATTTATACCTTTTCGTAACGTAATGTTTAAAAACAGAGCAATAAAATAAAAAGCCCAGAAACAAAATAGGGTAGGTGGGGTTAGTGCACTTTAAAAAAAATATAATTGCCATGGATTTTGATTATCTTCCCAAACTAAAGGTAGGAGTGATTGTCTGTTGTATCAGCGATATTCACCATATAGGTGCCCTTTCTAGTTCTACAATTACAGACTGGGTAATCCGTCTGTTTCTCTGCATACTTTGTGTCACTCAGTTTTACTGCTGGACTGAGAATAGTCCACCAACCAAAAATATCTAACCAGCAGCATCCTATTGGCAGTGTCCTGTGACCACTGATGGAGCACTAGAGGATGACCAACACAAACTGTGCAACAACAGAGCAGCAACTGTCTCTGACTTTACATCGACAAGGTGGACCAAGAAGGTAGATGTGTCTAACAGACTGGACATTAAGTGGACACAGTGTTTAAAAACTCTTGCCACACTGCTGTGTCTGATCCTCTGGTACCAGTGCAGCACACACCAATTTAGCCACCACCATGTCAGTGTCACTGCAGTGTGTGAATGATCCACCACCCAAATCATACCTGCCCTGTTGTGGTCCTAACCATTGAAGAACAGGGTGAAAAAGGGGCTAACAAACCACAAAGGGCAGCTGTATGATAAAACGTACGAGTGTGAAACAAGGATGTGCACTTTGTAGCTCTACAATCACAGACTTTGTGGAACTACAAAGTGTCAGTTGGTGTTTACATATCATCATGCATTCCTCCATGCAGCTTAAAGCAATCTTTCAGCTAAAAATCAAATTTACACATTTACAAAATGTACTTATTTTTCAAGTTATATTTAGTGTCCAAGGTTTGCTTCTTTAGTTTTTCACTGGAGCTAGAAGAAGATATGTTTAGCATGTATAAACTACATACCTAAATCATCAAGCACTTGCGTCTGACTATACTGAGTTTATATATAGCTAATCTCAAATTGTCAATTTCTATTTCTATCATTGTGTGGCATATTACCTCAAACACTGGATGAAAGTGCACTGCATAAAACATACTTTTTTGGTTGAACTGGGGCTGAACGAATTGTGATTCTTCAGACTAATATTGCAACTGTCAAAAACTTATGTCAAAATCACAATTGATTGTAGAATCACAAATGATTAATCTTTCAGCCCTAGGTCAGACTTTCACTTCAGGAGTTGCTTCTACCTCCCAGTCTCATTGTGGTTCCAGACTAGTTGTCCTCACTTTTTTTAGGCGATACCTTAAATGCACCCGGCATACCAGATGGTGGAACATCACCCCTAGAGATGTGACAGGGATCCTGACATCAGCTCCATTAAGGAAAGGCAAAACAAACACTTGCTGAGGAAAAGTGAGACAAAGGCTGTGGAGAGATGAGAGTCTTGTGAGCGCTTTGGCCTCTTCAGAAAACAGTTAGTGGCCTGGACTTTGTGGGTGCTTTTCTTTGATTTTGCCATGATTTACGGGTGTTCCTTAAAACCTTCGCTTATTTAAAGCAGTGATAAAGTTAAACATGCGATAATACATCAGCGTTCAATAAGTTATTTTTAATAATATCTTCTTCAAAGCAAAATATTTTGTCAGTAGGCTGTGGTTGCCAAGCAATATAATGGTCCAAAATCATTTGATGAACAGCAAAATTATTTTTAGGGTAGAATTTAGTTAATGTATGCAGTCATATGTGTGCCTATGTAAAGTTTTACAATGGCTCAGGCAAAACAAAAGACTGCAAAAGATTTTCCTATTATACTAAGCATATCACTGGAAACCAATGAAAGATTTTGGAAAATTTTCTCTTTGGTTAAACTTGAAGTCATTAAACGTGTAAAGGTGTGTTAGTTGTTGTAAAATTGTGAAGTATTTTTGATATTGTCACAGATTGCTTCCATACTTTTGGTCTGTTGTGTATGCGTGCCTAGCATTGATGTGCAACTCACTTCCAGCTATACCCCATCAGCAAGCAGCCTTGGTCTGAGCAGGAACGCCCTGAAAACAGAATCCAAACCTTTCCAATGCCAAGTTGTCCTCTCCTCACTCCTCCCTTCACTCTTCCCTCAATCCATCTCTTCCTGAGCATCTCCCCCAGGAGAATGGAAGCGGGCCGAGGAGGCGGTGAAGCCCCTGCTTTGACACGTTTGATGGGGGCCCTGCCGGACAAAGCCCTCTTTGCTGCTCGTCCATGTGGAAAATGGTGGCGATAGAGGAGGGAGGACAATTAGTGGGATCTGCTAATCACGCGGGCAACACTCATTTAATTGACATGTGAAATTTTGTTTAATCTAACATGTCGATAGGCAATATGACAATGGGCCGGCAATCAGAAAAGCACTGGCCTTGAAGCCAAGGACTTGACAGCTGATTATTGAAGGACAGCCATTGTGAGCCTGTGTGTGTGTGTGTGTTTGTGGCGCTAGACAGAGCGGGGGCAGACGTGGAAGGATTAAATGCCATTATGCCTGCAATGCATTTGGACAAATAGCTATGCACGCTCTTTCGTAGCTGTTTTGACATTTGTTGTTTGTCTTTTGTGGTGGCAGAAAGTACGATTATTTCATTACCATGCCGCTGATGACATGGAGGGTTTAACAGGGAAGAAAAAGGCTGTGCTCAGCACAATGAACCCAAAATATATGAGAGCAGAGGCAAAATGAGTTGTCTCTTTGACATTCGTAGAAATCAATACGCCTTTTATGGTCACTGAAAAAGCAGTAGCACCCCTCATTGTTGAGTGGATTGTGTGGTGAAGGTTTTATAAGTGCAAACAATTTTTGTATACAGTTTGTTCCCCTCAGAGATGCAGTTCACTAGTATGAAAAGCCGTAACAAAAGAGATGCCACTGAAAATTTGTACACATCATACCTGCTCTCAAGGTTAGGCAGTAGGTTCTTTCAAAGAAGGTACCCATCGCACACCATTTTTTATTTTCTCTCTTTTACAGCTTCTCTGCAAAATTACATTGGACAGTTTGCTCGACCTTTGCTTTTAATTGGAAATAGTTTGCTGTGATTTGAAGTATTTTCACAGGTCAAAATATACAGTGTTGCATAATCTATGTGGTTAGGTATGGCTGTTTAGGGCTAAAGGGTTTTTAAACCTCTGTTTCCTGCAGTGAACACCTGCTGTCTGTAGATGAGTCTGAAGCTCAGCTGGAGCTGCCGCACAGTCAGGATTATGACAGGAGAGGAGGTAGGCTCAACTGCTCTATTTGCTTGTTCATCAGTGGATATATTAAGGCCTGACTGATATCAATTGGCTGATAATATCAGCTGATTTTGAGGTTTGGCAAATGTATCATTATCAGCAAAAAGCAAGGGCGCCAGCATTTTGTGGCTGGTTTTATGTTGTAAAGAAATAAACACATCTTACTTGAAAACGTCTCATTTTATAGAGGCTGCTAAGATGACGATCGTGGACTGCTTATGTGTATTCAAAAAATACAGGCTAAATTCATAAATCTGAACACAAAACATAATCATGATTAAATTAACCAATAAGACATGTAAAATGCATTCAAAACTAACCTTTGGCATAAAGTTAATGTTTAGGAGAACACAGAGAACACTTTTTATGAAGAAAATGAGAAAAATACAAGCAAATTGCAGTACTTGCAGATGTCAGAGACCTCTGATTTATGTAATTTCCAGTCAAAACAGCCATTAAGTGCAAGTACCTCATCTTTCAACATCAGGAAAAAAGCAGAAAACATATTTTAAAAAAATCACAAAAGCCTCAACATCTAAATATAATCTCCACACATAGCCTTTGCCTACAACTTGTCTTTTTGGGGGATTTGCTTTCAGTTTTTCGAAGAGATCTGCAGGGATATTTTTCCACATCTCCAAAGTTCAGTCATAAAAATTGGTTGCATTTTCTGCTTCTGACCATCCAAGTAATCCCAGTTACAGATTCAGATGCAACAGTCCCTAAAACCTTCACATCTTTTTAACTTATTTTCCTTCCATTATGCAAGTGGATTATTTTATATCTAATCTCAGGAATGTCTTTTTCAGCCATTTTGACGTATATGAGAAAGACATTTGCAAGCCAGCTAAGGTGTATTTGCTTGTGTGAAAGTTAATGTCTCTTTGAAGAGGAACATAATGTGACTCCTTTGGGAACATCTTTTTTTTTCAGCAGCACACAGCTGTAACTCATTGGTTTTAAGACTGGAAGGATGGAAGAGTTAAATAGGCATCAAGATACACAAAAGAAAAGAGTGGTCAAATTAAATACTGATAGATTTGATATTGACCTGTCCAGGGTGTATCTTGCCTTCCCCCCAGTGACCGCTAGGATAGGCCCTGTGAGCCCAAAGAATAAGCGGTTTAGAAAATGTGTGTGTGTGTGTGTGTGTGTTTACATTTGATATTATGCTTAGTCTTGGAGTGTTGTGTAATTTTCTGTTAAATATGTTTTCTGCTTCTTTCCTGACACTAAAAAATGAATGATTTGTACTTAATGGCCATTTTGACTGGAAATAGAATAAATGAAAGGGTGGACTCTGACTTTTGCACAGTACCATATGTTCAGAAACCATCAAAATTACTAAGAATGTCGCGAAGCACCTCCCCTCACATTACATTATTTATATTGTATAGTGTTCTACGATTTGAATTTAAGAAATATGACAAATTTCACAGCTGACAACAGGCAATCACAGCAAGCACTAAAGCACAGTTTATCTAAAACAGTTGGAGTCTGTTTAATTTTTGGCCACATTAATTTCTATTATATTATCAGCTGGTATTATTAGTTAGTGGAAATTTTGGCTTCCTAAAATTAGAACTGGTATCAATTCCAAAATGTTCTTATTGGTTTGGCCCTAGACTATATAGGACGAACTTACTGTAGCTAGGGCCAATATACAAGTTTGATTGTGATGATTGTGATGTCTATGTGATTATTTCAGTCAGGAGTAGCACATCAATCAAACCATAACCTTCACACAATTACTCTGTTGTTGGTTCTGACCTTTGTGCTGTATTGTAACATTACAGGGGATTGCAGTGAATCACTTTTTTTAAAAAAAAAGTTTTGCGTCAGTGGGTCAGTTTTGTGGGGATGGAGATTGGGAGGGTTACAGAGGTTGCCTTTCTTTTTTAAGAATGAATGGAATACCCACACAGTTTTCACATCATAATCACCATATTGTGGAATTGCTGTCTGAATGAACTTCGCTCTGGTCCACTGATTACTAGAGTTTATTTGGAGATTGCAGCCAAGCTGTAGATGGGGCTTGAATGCTCTGTGCTGTAGATGCCTGGCACAATCTGTGCTATTGTATTTGTTTCCGAGATTTCCGCTCTACTGTGCCAGACAGTTTGGCCCTTTGCCAAAGCTCACAGCTGGATTGGCCCATGCTTTTAATGTGTGAGCTGGGTGGGGGGTTGTGGGGGGTTGTCTGGGATTTGAGATTGGGATGCACTGGTGAAGCTGATGGTGCCATGGACAGGGCATGGCGAGATATTTTGGTGGGGGGCGGGGGTCAACAGTAGATAAGTCTGACAGTATTTTGGTTTTAAGTGTGTGCGTACGCAGACGTGTGTATGTATGTCCCTGAAGTTCAGCTGTGCGAGACATCTTAATTCCTCCACAATCTTCACTACTGAACAAAACGCCATGGCTGCGATTTCCCCAACGCAATCCTGGAATGCATTTACCTTGCTCAGACAGCAGATTAAATATTGATGACATATTTGATTTTCCTCACGATTGATTCAGCGGGGATCCTTACATCAGTTCTAGCTCCATCTCAAATAGAATCACGACTGCAGTCCAAATAAGCAGTCCGTAGCCATGATATAGGCAAATAAAGGAGAGGGCCATAGAAGATATTTTGTAGCTTTTGAACCCCTTGAGAACCTTCTTCTATAGATCACCTTCATTAAACACTCAAAATCCCATGTGGTATTTTCCATATGGAAATAGAATATACTTTAATATGTTGTCAATATATTTCAAAATACAGAATATGTTATAGTGTATATGTCATTGTCATTTGGGAGTGCTCTCAGGATAATATTGGGGTTACCACTTTATCTGCTTTACACATTCTGTCCTACTGGTAGCTTGCAGCGACATTGCTTTCGCATATGCTCCATGTTATTTGAAACAAGGGCAGGAAACAGTCTGACTGAGTCTGCATCAATTCCCTGTCAGTCCCGTGTTATTTTGACAATACTGATGCAGGGGCTCTTTATGTAGTAGCTCTTGCGGCTCAGAGCAGTGGGAGGCTGAGGCTAGGCCGGCCTGCTGAGGATGAGCGCAGGAGGAAGGTGGGTTTACCACATTCTGCACTCACTGCATCCCTCCCACTTCCCGTTCCCCTCCGCTTGCACCCTTTCCACCCCCCCCAGTGGAGGGGCTGCTCTGCCACTTTGCCCTGACAACTGACTGCTTGAACGAGCGCACCAAAATAGGTGCCTTGCTGGTCTCCATGACAGGCTGCGCATAATCAGTGGCGGAGGTGTGTAATTACGGCTGTCAGGCCCATCCGCTGTAATTGATGCGAGTTGCGAGCGGACTTGGCCAGGGCAGCCCCGAATTGCGCACATGGCAGTGCTGCTGCTGTGCCACCACATTGGAAAGGGCTGGGAGGAAAAGGGGAAAAAAAAAAATGTTACCTGTCGGGAAGCTCACTAGTAGTGCCATGTTAAGCTCTGCCACCTGCCTCAGTGACACCAGCACACTGTACTACACTTAAGAGTCTGTTTTTTTTCAAATTTTTTGTGCTTTTTTCCCTCCCCCTGTGCGTGTCAGCACGATGGATGGCGCTCTCGGTTTGTCTCCGGGCTCGGGATTTCTCGGGCTCGGTTTGATGCTGCCTGGGCGAATTCGCAGATGGCAAAGGGGGGTAAGCGGGCGTGATGAAAAACACTGTCGAAACCGTAGCTGCTTAAGTGTCTCCAAGGCGAGGTGGTCTGCCTGTGGGGTGTCTGCGTTTGGCTTATCGCTGCTGGCTTTTTTTTTCCACACGCTTTATTTCCTGGCTTCCTGGAGAACATGCAGTGTGGCTACGGAGAGAATAATCACTTAACTTCAGGGGCGTCACTTAACTTGACGTTTTTATGCTAGTGCATACAAGAGGGAGAGGGGCAAGTGAAGGGGCAAACTCTTGGCATTTGAGAGCTCACCCAGAGACTTTGAACAAATGGCTGAGGGCATGTACTGTGTGCTGTGGCCTGTTATCCTTTAAGGAGTGCATATAAGGCCATATGAGTGGCCAAGCTAGGGCCTCAGGTGTTTGGCCTCCACTCAGCTGCTCTGCTATTGATCTGAAGAGGAATCACCTTTTTCAGAATTCTCCTGAGAACTGTGGATGGAATGGAAGCTGTTACAAAAGATTGTTCAATGATGTGGACAATAGAAATATCTCAGGAACCTTAAAAATAAACTATACAGCTATATGAATGTATACTCTTGCAATTAGCGTACTAGCAAACTCTGTTGCATGCATTGCTGTCAGCCATTTTTACCCGCTTTTGCTGAAACTGGTCATTTGCTGCGACATCAGGGCTCCCATTTGCTAACATGTTTCACATTTACATTTTTGTCTTAGAACCAAAAATGGCATTTTTTAACTTGCGATGGGGACAGTGCTTCATCTGTCAAAAATGCAGACTGCCATTGTCCAAGCTGCACAGCCTTTTGATGAAGAGTTGAAATACAGGCTTATTTCAAAGGTTTTGACAGTTAGCCTAGGTACCATATAGAGCCTAAACCTCATACATGTGTGTGTGTTTAATTGTGGATTGGTGTTATATTACACCATACACCACACACCACTTGCATTGTCTTGTACAGTTGCCATTGGTATGCACAGCAATCTCTCTACTGCTTGAATCTCCCACAGTAGCATATCCAATACTAACCATAGGGAAAGGTGGTAATGCTTGTGATGACTGATTGGAAAAGAGGAAGTGAGATTGATGGCTGAGCCTCTTCACCCCATCAATCCTTCTCTCACCCCCATATGCTCAGCCTAACAGAAACAGACTGGGGAGAATTTCATCAGACATTCAAATTGACAGCAATTTTCCCCCATATTGTGGGGAGGGCGCTCTGCAGGGGCTTATGCAGTCATTTGATAGCGATTGTTCCAAAAAATGGTTGTTTTTTTTTTTCAAGAGAAAAAATGTTAATTTTATTGTAATGATAGATTGAACCTAATTTGTGATTTTTTTTTC